AGGTAGGGATGATTTTAAGAAAATTTTAATTGACACACAGCTTCGAATATTTGGCTTTTAATTTGGTTTTATGGGGTTTTTTTGTTCTTTGATGTATTTTGTTTGTCTGTTTTAATATGCTGTGCACCGCCCTGAGTCCTACGGGAGAAGGGCGGTATATAAATTAAATTATTAAATTAAATTAAATTAAATTAAATTCCCATTTCCTTCAAATATCTAATCTAGAAGGCCATGGGTTCCACAGTGTAGGAGATGGCACCGCAGATAGGAATAGTGAAAATCAACTGCATTTTCACACCAGCTGGAATACCCCAAGAAGAATTATGCTGGAAGAATATACCCTAACTGTGCACTCAACGAATAAAGTATGGGTGGATTTTCTACAAGAAATCAGTACATTCATTGTAACCATTATTAAGAAAGTTCATGTATATTATTCAATTATATTTTTTGTTTTTCACCCTATCAAGGTGACTATCTCTGTGGGCCCCCTAAGACATAGAAGATGAGCACTAACTGTTGCATATGAGTAACAATTGCTTCACAAGCTTTAAAAATTAGATCTATGTTTAGATAATCAGATTCATTACCAAATAAGTGCAAGCAATGCCTTATTACCTTCATAATTTGTTTCTCCTCCTCTGTACATGTCTTCATGATCTCATCCCCAGATGAAACAAGTTCTTCTATTGTATCTTTGTGTTTCAAAATCTCCATGGTAAATCCCTAGTCATATAACAGATTGCTATTAAGAGTAGCAGGACGTTGACCATTACATATACAATATAAATAATATCAAATTTATAATGATAATTGATTTAACACATCACAAATGGAATCTGTTTACCTTTTGAACTTGCAGCTGAGCAAAGGTCTGGTCCCGTTCAAGTCTTATGTCACCCAGAGATATCAGTTTCTTTTCTGTTTTGTCAACCCAGGCTAATTCATTATTAGCTGCCTGATCAAACTAAAGAAGGGCCAACAAAAAGCAGTTATTAAAAAAATTGAAATGTTTGCTTTTAGATAAAAGAAACCTAAAAGAACACTCATCAAAATCCAGTTACAAACTACTACATCTCAAATAGCTATGGTCAATCCATATTTACTGTTCAAGGATTTATGAAAAATGGTGTCTAGATTATTGAGTGTGCTACTTTTTGCCTATTACAGCAAATATGAAATAGTTTTTAATATTTTCCAAGTGAACAGGTTTACTGTTCTGTAAGCTTCTTGTACAGCATAAGTCTATTCTATCTGGCGCTTGAAGGGATGCTCTTCAATTGATATTGGGTATCACACGCATGCACTTAGAGGCATGTAATGGTGGAAATCAGCAAGCATTAAAGATCAAAGTCCATGAAATGCAAGAAGCTGTGAATTTCCATGAAAAGTTGCACTAATGTAGAATAAGAGACTAATCTGCAATAAAACTCTACTTACAATCCAACGGGGGTGGGGGTGGGAGCTGGGATTGTGCCTGTGGGCTCACTTCCTAGTTTCTTCTGTATTTATTTTGCAGACTGAAATAAGTCTCCGCTTGTGTTCAGCTGAATGTCAGCAGAAATCTGCTTATAATCACAGACTCAGTTCCACGTTAAAATCTCTTTGTAGTTTTTTTTAAGGGGGGGGGAGAATAAAGACTTTCCAGATAGCTGCAAGGTTCAGCGCTAATCATAGAATAAATTTGTGCTAAATATGTTAGCTTCCTGTAACATCTGGATAGTTTATTTTTATTTTAGTAAAGTCAAAAGGTCTCAAAGTAGCTATATCATGTCCTTTGACATTTTTGCATCAAGCTCATTTTAAGTATGTTCCTTAGTGATTCTGAGATTTCTTGACTTAAAATAAAACTGAACTGTCCAGAAGTTTAGGAAACTAACACAGTTAGCACAAGACTATTCTATCTATGTCTTGCTGTTGTCCATTTTTAAGATTACTCTCTTGCTTTAATACAGGTTCAATTATTTAACAGCATTATTTAAATCCAGAAAGCAAATGCTCCTTCTTCCTAATGCAAGCAAAATGCCAATCCAGTTGTGTCATATGTACCTCCTTTATAAGTACTCTGGTGATTGTCTGGACAGAATAATCCCTTCAAGCATTTTTTTTCCCTGCGTTCATTATTGAATGGAAAAAGAAAGAAATTCCACACCCACTGTCCTTCCATTTCTACAGATGCACCCTTGCCTTCTCAGTGAGGGAAAGCTCTAGAGAACCACTTAGACTCAATTCAACTACCTTGCTTAAGTAGATTAATTGAATCCATAGATATATGGAGCAAGCTTCAGTACTATTACCATATTATGAGACAAAAAGTGATATTTGTCTATTTGGAAGCACACACAGCCTTCAGAGCAGGAGTGAAGAACTGATTTCAGGCTAAGGGCCAAAATAACACTGGGCAATTATGCCAAAAACTGCATTATCAGCTAGTCTCCATTGTGAGGAGGTGGTCCCTAATGTATTTGCCTTTAGTGATACCCATACAATCCAATCACATTTACAACTTTCATTTGTAGACCATAATTCAGAAAAGACTCTTCACAACTAGGATTTAAAACTGTTGTCTGTTGACACTGCGAATAGCTGTTTTAATGCCTATTGCCATGGTGGCACAGTGGTTAGAATGCAGTATTGCAGGCTAACTCTGCTGACTGCCAGCAGTTCGATTCTGACCGGTTCAAGGTTGACTCGGCTTTCCACCCTTCTGAGGTCAGTAAAATGAGGACCCAGATTGTTGGCGGCAATATGCTGGCTCTGTAAAACTGCTCAGAGAGGGCTGTAAAGCACTGTGAAGCGGTATATAAGTCTAAGTGCTATTGCTATTTGCAGGATCAGTAAGCAAACTCTCAATGGGGAACAACACAGTGTTGGGGGAGATGAGTTTCCTTTCCCAGCAGTGTGCCCTCTCCCCCCAAGTTAATGTTTTTAACAGGCAACATTTCAAGGGGGAAAGTTGCAGCATCAGAAAAGGTAAAGGTACTGTCTCCCTCCCCAGTTGAAACTTTTCCTCCCTTCTCTCTGCATGTCAATTTTCTTGAGAGCTAGGAAAAGCTCTAATGTTTGATTAGAACAGAATAGACCTGGAAGGGACCTTGGAGATCTTCTAGTCCAGCTCCCCACTCAAGGAGAACCTATATTTAATATTTATTTGTTATGTATATGTAAGAGTGTGGGTCTGTACATAAGTTGTATATAGTATGTTTAGGTGTGTGTCATATATGTGTTTCACTTTGAGAGCGGGCAACTAAATTTCATTTTTGATGTGTGCCGTTGTGCCCACAGTAAAAAAATGACAATAAAGGTTATCTTATCTTATCTATACCATCTCAGAGAAGTGACTGCCTTATGGCACGGGTGCCAGAGGCAGCACTCAGAGCCCTCTCTGTGGGCACGCACGCCATCACCCCCCAGTCCTAGGCCTTCAGCTGGGTTTTATAAAACCTTTTCGCTTTAGGCCTCCACTGCCATGTGCAAAAAAAAAAGGTTCAATCAATCAATTTCAACTTCTCGCGGGAAAAAAAATCTTGCAAAGTTGGAATTGATTGATTGAACTTTTTAGTCCCACCCAGTCTGCCGTTACCACCGCAACCACGCCTAGCCAATGGGCTACACTCAGCCTATGGACCACACCCACCCAGCACCCGACAATGCATAAGTGGGTTTTGGGTTGCAGTTTGGGCACTCGGTCTCTAAAAAGTTCGCCATCACTGGTCTAGTCTCTTCTTTAAAACCTCCAGTGATGGAGTACCCACGATTTCTGAAGGCCAGCTGTTCCACTGGTTAATTGTCCTCATTGTTAGGAAGTTTCTCCTTAATTCCAGGTTGCTTCTCTCTTTGATCAGTTTCCAACCATTGTTTCTTGTCCTGCCCTCTAGTGCTTTGGAGAATAATTTGACCCCCCCTTCTTTGTGGCAGCCTCTCAAATACTGGAATACTGCTATCATGTCACCCCTATTTCTTCTTTTCTTTAGACTAGACAAACCCAGGTCCTGCAGCTGTTCTTCATATGTTTTAGTCTCCAGGCCTTTGATCATCTTAGTTGCTCTTCTCTGAACTTTTTCCAAGGTCTCAACATCTTTTTTGTAGCATGGTGACCAAAATTGGTTGCAGTATTCCAGGTGTGGTCTCACTAGGGTTTTATAAAGTGGTACAAATACTTCGCATGATCTTGATTCTATGCCTCTATTTATACAACCCAGGATTGTATTAGCTTTTTTGGCTACTGCTGCACATTGCACATCCACTAGGACTCCAAGGTCCCTCTCACAGTTACTGTTTTTGAGCCAGGTCTCACCTAATCTGTACTTATATCTTTGATTTTTCCTGCCTAAATGTAAAACTTTGCTTTTCTCCACATTAAAACTCATTTTGTTGGATAGGGCCCATTGTTCAAGTTTGTCAAGACTTGACAAAGACCTACAAGGTCCCTTCCAACTCTGTTATTCTATTCTATTCTGCTTTATGCCCTTTAGACAGAGGTCCTTGCTAATCATGCTTGTTTTATGTTCTCCAGAATTGACCATAATACCTGAAAAAATATTGTATGAATCTAAATTATCCTACAAAAGTATGTTTGTTTCTCCAAAGTCACTATTGTATCATTAATCTCAGTTAGAATATTAACTATCACTTAAAAGTAGCTGATGGAATTTTAAAAAAAACACCAGAATGTAGCAATAGCACTTAGACTTATATACTGTCCCATAGTACTTTACAGAACTCTCTGAGCGTTTACATTGTCAGCCTATTGCCCCCAACAATCTGGCTCCTAATTTTACTGACCTTGGAAGGATGGAAAGCTGAGTCAACCTTGAGCCAGGTCAGGATTGAACTCCTGGCAGTGAGCAGAGTCAGCCTGCAATACTGCATACCAACCACTGCATCACCACAATTCATATTCTAAAGTGCTAAAAGATGTAGATTAAAGTGAAAACAGCATGCTTCTAACAATTGAGACCATGGCAAAGGAGATGTATTTTTACAGATTTTACACATTACACACTGAGCTTGTGGAAGCCAAACACAACTCCTTAGGGAATGCATTGCACAGTGTGGCACCAATTCAGGAGGCATCTTTAAGTCAGCCTCTTCTGAAATCTATCAGACAGGTTTGTACTGGGAAAGGCTGCTCTTTAGATAATCAGGTCTGAAGCCATAAAAAAGAACACTTTAAACTGTGCCCCATAAACAGCTGACAGCCAGTAGAGACAGCTCTTACAGGGATCAGTACATTGTTTAATAGCCTTACTGCCCCATTTTGCACAAAGGCAGCTTCTAGATCTGATTCAAGGCTAGCCCTTTTATTATAAAGCACAGCCCTTTATTTCAGAAAGCTGTCTTTAGATTTATTTTTTCAAAAACTCACTTTTGTCTTTTATTTTGGTCATGTAACTTTTTCTGTACAAATGGTACTACTTAACACACATTCTTGCATTCATGGAATGTGAAAAATATGGGCAGTGAATTGTGTTTCTAAAATGTATATATACTTTTATTTTAGATATTTTTATTAGAATGTGCATTTTTATAAAGTTTTTCTTGGTGTTGCTCTTGAGTTTTCCTTTGTAAAACAAAGCTGAAAACAAACATTTTTTTAATCCAAAAGATTTCTTCCTTTTTTAGTTTTGCCTTTTTTTTAATAGGGTCACCCTACACATACAGCACGTTGCCATAATCAAGAGACAACTGTTGCCAAATCTGACTGGCTTTGGAACAAACTGGCACGCTAGACACAATTGTGCAAAGATGTTTCTTGTCACAGCTGTCACCTTAGAATCCAGGGACAGCTGAGGATCAAGAGTATTGCCAGACCTAAAGTGAAATTAATGAATAAGCTATCATAACTTGCTCTTTAATTATGAATCATAGCTGAAAAGTAAATTATGTGGCCCAAAGATTCTCCCATGAGTAATTCTTTATCATACTGTTCAATCTATTTGAAACAGGCCACAAACATTCACTGCCTTTTTACAACTATAATCAGAGCATATATACTTGGCCTGAACACTCTGCTTTAAATAGAGGCATTTGGATTGAGTCATGCTAAATTAAAGGGCTAGTAAATCTGATCTTTAAAATCTTTAAAATCACACACACACATACAAAAAAAATTATGCTACAAACATCCTGATGTGAACATTAAGCTCACTTTAATGCCATATGCAATAAGAATAACATTTATTGTTCATGGGAACCTACACCTACCAGTTTTGCATCACTTATACAACCTCGCATTCGATCCTATCGAGCACCATAAACTGCAGGCATTAAAAGGATTTAAGATTTAATCCTTTGTTCTGGTGAAATTCTTACTTAGTTCAATGCATGATGTTCCTCCTAAAGCTTCCCAGTATGAAGCTGATCTGAAATTTTTGCATCAATCAGGAGACAGATGGCTCTGAGAATGACTGGATTTGCTTTGTTCTAAAATTCATGTCTGAAAATTAAGGCCAGGATCCCCTCCTTCTCCTCAAGATGAGCCCCACTTCTTGAATAATAGAGCCAATGTGTGCAAGTAGAGTACAGTAAAATGAACAAAACATTTTTATTTTGACATGAATTCCCAGGTGAATGAACTGGCCTGTATGTTTTTGTGTGTGTATAGTGCAAACCTGATAAAAACACATATTATTCTGGCTACAGAAGATTAAAACAATATTACTTTTACCTGTTGTGATCTTAAAATTGCAGCATCAATTTCTTCCACTTTTTGATTTAAAGTGTCACTCATTAACCGGTATCGTTCATTGTCTTCTGTAACCATTTTATCTATCCCTTCCCTTGCTCTCCATGGCACCAGTTCCAACAAAGCACTGCTGACTTCATTGAGATTATCCAATAAACTTTTCTTATCTTTTACTTCTTTTTTCAGTTCCTAAAAAAGAATATTTGAGGTAAACACACTGGCAAAAATCTATGTGATTCTCTTCCCTTCATTTTTTAACAATACTATGAGAAAGATTATATGCTGAATATATATTTAGGGATGCTGGAGGAAACATTAATAACCAGCACTATGCTGATGATGCTGCATCTGATACTGAAAATGCAAATGATCTGCAAGGTCAGCTAACTGAAGTCAAGAATTATTATTATGCGTGCGTAATCTACAGTTAGATTCACAGTCTAAGATTGGTGGAAATTTAATAATTCAAGGCTTAACAAAGACCCTAAGAATTATTAAGGAAACATCTAAAATATAGGCAGTTCCAAACAAGGTGGGTTTTTTGTAAAATTCTGGTGTTCAAGTCTGATAAACAAAATGTTTCCAGATATCAAGAACGTCCATTGCATATTGCTCCAATGGCTTCAGTCACGATTGGTTTGACAGATTTCTTTTTCCATAAAGTGTTCAAATTCAATTTGCAAGCTCCAATATTTTATAATGTTTTCTAATGTTTTCTTATTATTCATGTATGTTTATTGCCTTGTGTATGCACCCACACGAAGACAATAAACATATATATCTCCAATGTTCCCCATCCTGTAAGGTGTGTTTGGCTGAAAAAGGGTGTCTTACCCAAAGCCACCGAGCCAGCTTGCATGCCTCAGAGAGATCTAGAATACTTTTGTTTCTGGACCACTACCTTAATCAATATACCAAGACCAAACAATGAAGATGTAAGTAGCTCCTATCTTTTAGAATTGACTGTTCTTAATAAAGAAATAGCAGACAAAAAATACTATACATTGTAATTAGAACTTGGTACTATAGTAATGAAGGCCCAGGAAAAGATATTCAGGTAACATGACATGTCTATACCTAAAAAGATCAGAATGGTGCAGTAATAGTTTTTCTTATGAGAGTCTGTGGAAATGAAAGTTGGAGTTTGAAAACAGGATAGAAAGAGCCAGGGCTTTTTTTGTCATAGAACGCCCAGAACAGAGTTCCAGCACCTTTTTTGGATGGAACCTTGTAGGGTAGGCAAGGCAAGTTGTATGACGTGTGTGAGTTCCGGCACCTTTTTTTTTTCACAAAACAAGCACTGGAAAGAGCATTATTATTTTTTTTACAACAGTGTTAGAGGAAACTCCTGAAAATACCTTGAATGGCCCAGAAAATAAAGAAATGGATCATTGAACAAATCAATCAAGAGTTCTCATTTGAGGCTCAAATAACCACGCTTAAATAGTTTGGACACACTATGTCAAGACCTAACTCTCTAATGAAGTCTTTAATACTGGGAAAAGTGGAAGGAAAGAGAATGATCAGCAGCCATTGGGTGGACTCAATTATAGAGGTGGTGTGTGAACCAACGGAAAACCTGAAGAATCAGGTGAGGAGAGATCATTCTGGAGAAGGTTTAAACTACTGTATGTCAGGGCCTTGCTAACCCCTTCATGAAGTTTCAAGATATTCATCAACCCCAAATCTTTATTACATGAAAATAATTTAATAAATACTTTAACTAATAGTACTATGGATAATAATAATAAATCAGAACAATAATGGATTGTTCCATAAATCCTTGGGTGTAGATATTATCCACTTTGAAGACTCTGATCTACGTGGTCAATAAGGGTTAACACCAACTCTTATTAACACCAACTTGATGAACATAATCTATCAAGAAATAACAAAGTTATAAAAAGATTTATTGCAAATAAGAAGCTGCACATGGGAAAAGTAAAGGTAATTTCAATTATCTTTACTTTTGTTAATTCCTGAAGGGAAGCTTGGTCAAAATACGATTTGAATATGTTCTGGGGGTTTGCTGGGCAACTTACCATAGTCCACATGTAATCAAGAAAGTAATATGAAGAATTCTAGTCTGTCACTTACAATTTATAATCCATTTACCTCTCCTGCCAGTAAAACAAATAACTATAATGGCAATGATGTAACATAGAAATCAAATTCTAGTATATCTTCAAAAATGTAGACACTGGATTCATCTTCAAACAACTTTCAGCAGTTGAGCAATAAAAAAGAGTTTATCTTATTATGGAATAATTTCTTAAATAGATGTATTTAGTAAAAGCATAGTGTGGTTTGCAATTGGATAGCTTGTATGTTAAATTATTGCATTTTCCCCTTTATAAAATGATTCATTTAAGTGGCTTTACTGCAAACTTTATTACATGTATATGGCTAGCCAAGTTATAGCAAAGAGTTTATCAGCCAACTTCAACTGGCTGATTTTTCATAACACATATAGTATACAAACCACAATGACCTTGTGCATGCAATAGATTAAGCCAAAAAACAAATAGCAAAGTATGAAGTCAATCTTTATTTTCTAGCTTGATACTCACTTTTTGTCTTTCTTGTGTTTCGCTTAATTCTTTGCCTTTGGGATCTTGAGAGTTGTATGAAAGTAATTCGACTTCAACTTTGTCAAGCCAAGAACAGAGTTCTTTGTGAACTGATTGGAGCTGCCCTGAAAACTGAAGAGCTTCTTCTAAAGTCTTGAACACCTCAGAACTCAGGTTAGTGATATCCTTGTACCTTGCTTTGATGCCTTCCAATTTATCTTGAATTACAACAATTTCATCTCCTAAAATTTGAAAAGAATATTATTGCCAAAAAAATCCTCAAATCATCAAGTTACTGATTGCAAAAATGAATAACACTCCTATTTATTTTTTAATAATTTATAGTTTGGGGCAGATTTATAAACTATATTTAGAATATAATAAAATAAAATAAAATAAAATACATAAAAGCCGGCAAAGTAAAGTTGCCTTAAGACTGAGCTCAGTTATTGTAACTTACAGGGACACATTATAGAGCATCTTTCCAGGATTTCTTTTTTTTTTTTTTACTTCCCAATCTAATTTACAGTTCTGGAATAGTTCCCAATCCACATACTAATCACAGCCTCTGTTGTTTAACTAGCTACAGGGAGTTAATGTACTAACTTCTAATGAAAGTATTACAACCAGAAAATTATTAAATTTAATTAAATAGGTCCTTTGATATATATATTCTATATATTCTGATATATATAGGTCCTATATATCTCAGAATATACAGATGATGGCACTTTTTATTTCAATTCAGATTGAAATCTGATCAATATACCAAGAGATGATTTGTCCAATACGCTAACATCATTTCCTTGAAAATGTTAGACCTATATAACCTAAAGACCTCTTGACCTACAATTGACCGAAATAACCCAAAGATCTGTTGACCTGCAAGAATCAATGTATAACCAAAACCCACAGCAAATTATTTAGGAAATTCATTTTTTCTCTGAGAACATTTAATATCCAGAGACTTAGTTCATTGAAAATTAATTCTATAAAAATTCTGTTCAAATATTGGCAACATTCAGCACAGCAGAATTCACAAAGAAGTTCTTGATGAATTGTGCAATGCATCAGCCTTTTGATTTAGAAAAAAAGGCTGTCTAATTAAGACGTTTTGTAAGGAAATACTGTAAATTAAGGATCTTGCCATGTTAGTCTCTCCTTATTTTTGTTGGTTCCAAATACTAGGGCTCTTATTCTGGCAAATATATTCTTCAGATGAACATCAAGTGTCCCAAACTACGAGGGCAATTCGGAAATAAACCTCTATTTGAGCATGTGTGAGAAATAGGCAGGGATAGTGACGCCCAGCCTATGGTGCCGTGCGCAGTAGTTCAGTAGGCAGTGAGGAGTGGAAGAAGGTTGTGTTGCAGTTGACTCATCCGCTAGATCAATTGAAAATGAACCCTGCCATAGAAAATCCCACCAAATGTGAAGTGTATTTAGTAATGCAATTCCTGTGTGCCAAAAAACTTTCAGCAGCTGCAATTCATCGCAAACTGTGTAATGTTTACAGACCAAATGTGATGAGTGAAGGTGTCATACATCAATGGTGTCGCATGTTTAAAGATGGACGAAGTAACGTGCACGATGAGGCAAGCCCATCTGTAGTCAGCGATGAACTCATGCAGGAAATTGACAAAAAGGTCCGTGAAGTCCGCCAGTTCTCGATATCTGCAAGCGTCCGGTGTGGTGTTGGTTCATGATAATGCTCGCCTGCACACCGCTAGAAGCACAGAAGAACTTTCGAAGCAGCTCTGTTGGGATGTTTTTGATCACCCCCCCCCCCTAGCCCAGATTTGGCGCCAAGCAACTACCACCTTTTCAGACACATGAAACACTGGTTTGCGTTGCACCGCTTCAACGAATGACAATGCGGTTCACGATGCTGTTGCAGGGTGGCTTCATTCCCAGGGAGATTTTTTTTGCAGAAGGAATTTCAAACCTTGTAAGACGTTATGACAAGTGCCCCAATTTGAATAGCGATTATGTCAAAAAGTAATGTAATGTTGTAGTTTTCTAAGATGTATAATAAATTTTCTGTATCTGCGAGTGTCTGTCATTGACAACGAAAAGGAGGTTTATTTCTGAATTGCTCGCGTATTACTGGACAAACATGCTGGATCTTGAACGTGTATCAGAAAATATTCAAAATCAAGCATGCGTGCCTGTTAAATAAACAGGTACATGATCATCGCAGCAAATAATACAATTTATAGGCAAATCATATACAACCCTCAGGAAATATTCCTAGGATTTAGTTTTTAAATGGCTTTACTTATTTTGGATGCACCAAACTCCAGGATTATTTCGATAGATATATGGGAGTACTTTAGACACCCATGTTTTATCTTTAACCGGTTTTGAATGTATTTTCATAAAAATATATTTCTGATAATCCTGGAACAAACAAGATTATCCTATAGCCTGGCTAATTCTGAATATGACTGGCTAAAACTTGGAGGAATGTTTTTTAACATGCTCTGATCCTTCTCAAAGCCCTGATTTGCATAATTTGACGACAGAAGAGTAAAAAGAGTTTAATTTTTATTGTTCAATATACATCCAGGACATGACAGAACTCACTATTAAGCACTATTAAGATTGGATATATAGATCTAGTCCAGACATGTCAAACACAAGGCCCGGGGGCCGGATGCGGCCCGCGAAGTGGTTTCATATGGCCCGTGAAGCCATCCTGGAAACAGTGAGGGAATGGCCCCCTCTGCCTTGGCCCTGGCCCAGGCCAGCTGGGAGCCAATGTACAATTTTGTGGTGGCCATCTATGCTGAAACGTATTCGGTCTTAGCTCCATAACCCCCCCCCCCGCATGGCCTGAAAGGAACAGTGAGGCTCCTCCAGTGGATCATGCCTTTGCACTTGCCCTGGTCCCACCCCCTTCTGCCAGAGACCCTCATATCTGTCCCACTCCTGCCCAGGCCCCCACAGGCACCCTTAACGCAAACTATGTAGAGCTGGTCACACCCGCCCAGTAGGCCACATCCACTCCATCCACGCCCACCCAGTAGGCCACACCCACCCGGCCCCGAGGGCAACCGCAATGCTGATGCGGCCCTCAATGAAATTGAGTTTGACACCCCTGATCTAGTCCTTCAAAACAGAGGACCACGTAGGGGGTCTATTGTAAAATATCTGGGGAAGAGTTTACAGGCCCAAGTCAACCTTAATCCTATTGCTCCTAATGTGCCCATAGTAGTTTATAGTGATTAATCCAAATCTTCCAAAAAATGTCAGCACTGTTATATTGTAACCAAGTAACTCATTGCGAATTAATTCAATGGAATAAAACAGGTGGAAGTGATAAATGCATCTATCTATCTATCTATCTATCTATCTATCTATCTATCTATCTATCTATCTATCTATCTATCTATCTATATCTATATCTATATCTATATCTATATCTATATCTATATCTATATCTATACAGATAGATATAGATATGTGTGTCTCATCTAGTTAACATTAAGTCTGAAATCTTGCCCTTCTCAGACTCAAATTATTATGTTTGGGAAACTTCATAAAGTCTAGAAAATTCACAAGATGTTGCCTTCTAAACCAGACGTGCTATGTGCATTTGGAATGCAATTTTTCCACAGTACTACCTCTAGTACAGAGGATGTGGTCCTGTTCATAAATTAAAAAAATATAATCATTTTTAACCTTATAACAACATTCACTATCACAATCATCTACTTAGCTCTCCTCCAGAAAAAGTGGGAAAAGAAAAAGACCGCTGGGATAAACACTAATGCAACTGATCTACAGGTTAAATTATTGGTTGGTATCTAAATGGATATATAACTCCATTCATAACTGTGATTTCATTTATAATAGCAATAATTTAAAAATACCAAACATGACAAATATAATCAGTATTTCCAGGATCACATATATTGAAACTATAAATGGAAAATAACTAAAACTCTACAGGCAGCTAAAATTCCATGGGGGATTGAAAAAAGGCTGGCCCCCTATTATAAAAGTAGTGAGTCCAAAACACTTCTTCCAAATAATTACCAAAAACCATGGAGCAATAGCCATCTAATTGTTTGCTTAGAAAGAGGCTAAACATTTTAAAATGTTTCCATCAATTACTTAGGAGACTGAAAAATGTTTGTGGTTACAAAAAGAAACCTCTACAAATTTTCCTGACAACGGCTATAGTGGACATTTTCACTGACAGAACATTTACTTTTGTCAAGACTAGAACAAAGACACCTTAGGAAGCAACAAATGCTAGTCTGAGTAGCATGGAGAGGGTGGAATGTTGGTTTCCTGGCAGGAATTCTGGTATTTATAATCCTAGCCCAACATCCCATCAGGACAAGATGAACAAAAAGGATTTATCATCACCTTTCCACCCCTTGAAGCTATATTTTATGGCTTTGGAGCATAAGAAAGCCATGAGCAATGACTAGATTTTCATTTATTTATTATCCCTGCCTTCTTGTTCCTGTAAACCAGGGGTTCCAAACCGGGGGTGCCCTGGGAGTCCAAGATGATATTCCAGGGGGTTGCCTTTATTTCAAACTTTTGTTAAGGGGTGCGAGAATATATCAGAAGCGTTCTAGTGGTACGGTTTATAGAAAAGTTGGGAACCGCTACTGTAAACAGTAGACCTGCAACATACAATGAAACTTGGTACAGTTTATTCACCTTAACTGTAACTGTTTTAATTCCCCAAAGATCCCTTTTAAAATCCTTTTGATACCACCAGTTCAAATATTTACTTTTTTTAAATACAGAAATTAATTTTCCAAATGAAAAAGATTGCCAACTCATAATTTATGCTCTCAACCATATTGTTATAACCAGCTGTCAATATGAATCCAAGCCATTTTTTTAAAAAAATGGTACATTAACTATAAATTTTTGGCACATTTATTCTGGAAAAATATACTTTTATACTTTTATAGTATTAAAAAACTAAGTAAAAAGATGTTGTTTAAGTTGCCACTGATATAAATCATTCTCACCTGTAGTTTGTTTAAGAAGCAGTAAACCATTTTGAATAGCTTGATCAACATTATCTTTTCTGACCTTAATCTCTTCTTGAAGAACCTAGGAAATTTAATGATTTAAGAATATGGAGAATGAGAGAGAAAAGGCAACAGCACCCTAAACACACCAAAGAAGTCATCACTAAAAGTTCTTCCATTTTATAAAGAATAATGCATTCATTTCTTTCTTCGTGGGAAAGAAAAAGAAAAAAAGTTCATGAGGTAACTAAAAGAAATAAATATTATGCAAAATTTAGTTATAAGAAAATTAATAAAATAAAAATAAATTGTTAATAATATGATTAATGATGGTAAATTAAAAAAAATAACAGAAAATAATGGCAAATACCAGCATTTCAGCGTGCTGTTTTTCTAGTAAATCAGTACTGTAGTCTTGGACTCCCAATTTGCTCAGTTTCTCATGGACTTCATTCAACCAGTTCATCAATTCAACCTCATCTTCTCCAAAAATCTGAGCATTGCAATAGGCTTGTTTCAGGAGCTCAGCCCTACTTTTGCTTTTTTCTTGAACCTCAATATATCGGCCTTCTGAAGAATCTAATTTCTCTTGAACCATCTCTTTATCTTCCCTGGAGCACAATGTGTTTAAAATTTGACCAATATTAATTGCTTGCTGTAGATTTTTACTGTGAACGGTGATGTCTTCCTCTAAAGTCTAAACGGAATTTTCAAAGCAGCGGAAAGGAAAAAAAATTGAAAAGAAAGTTTAACAAAACCATGTAAACAAATATGGGCGCAACTAAATAAAAAAGCAAAATGAATGAAACAATTTGAGTGATATAGAAATGTATTCTTTTTAAAAAAAACTCAGGCAAGAAGGTAGAGAAGGAATTTCCAATTCTTCTGAATGAGGAAGTTATAAAAATAACTCCGAGAGGCTGCCCCTTAAGGTCTTACTTTGTGTTGAGAAATCTGTTGTTGCAGTTTGGAAGCCTGGGTGCCAATGGGTTCTGAATTGGAAAGTTTCTTTTCAGTAGTTGCTAGCCATTCAACCAACGGTTCTAAGGTTTCATGGAACTGCTGAGCTACAGTTGAAATCCCTTCCAACTGGCGATGCCTACAAAACGCAGAGAGAATGAAAAAAAAAACATTTGAGGATCAAATAAAGGTAAAAGATTCCAAATTTCAATAAAGCTTAACATTTTTTTTTCAAAAAATAAAACTTTGTGACTCAGTAACAAAAGGTAATCTAAATAAACACAAGCCCCATCATCAGAACAAAACTTCATAGTATTTTGTACTTTGTGTTAAATCATATTTCAAAACCACATGAAGTATTAGTACCACTTTATAAATCCTTAGTAAGACCACACCTGGAATACTGCAGCCAGTTTTTATCACCACATTACAAAAAAGATGTTGAGACTGTGGAAAAAGAAGAGCAACTAAGATGATTAAACGTCTCGAGAGAAAAACATATGAAGAACGGTTGCAAGAATTGGGTATGGCTAGTCTAGAAAAAAGAAGGACTAGAGGTGACATGATAGCACTATTCCAGTATATGAGGGGCTGCCACAAAGAAGACGGGGTCAACTTATTCTCCAAAGCACCAGAAGGCAGGACAAGAAACAATGGAGGGAAACTAATCAAGGAGAGAAGCAGCCTGTAATTGAAGAGAAACTTCCTAACAGTGAGAACAATTAACCAGTGGAACAGCTTGCCTTCAGAAGTTTTGGATGCTTCATCACTGGAGGTTTTTACGAAAAGACTGGACAGCCACCTGTCTGAAATGGTATAGGGTCTCCTGCTTGAGCAGGGGGTTGGACTAGAAGACATCCAAGGTCCCTTCCAGTTCTATTCTGATTGATTGATTGATTATTTAACTACTTACACATTGATTAGTTAGATCTGCTGGACCACTTTACTCTAGGCTAGAAATGTTTCAAATTAAATCTCACAGGTGCGAAAGGTATCAATCCTTTATTAAAATAATACTTAATTTGTCAGCTCCTCCATGCAGTAGACCTTCTCCTAATGCCCATTTTGTAATCCCCATTTTGTAATTCTAGCTATCCACCAATTTATTAAATCATGTTTACTGTATTTCACCTGCAGTTCTAGTCCTAACAATGCTAATGCATTTTCCTATCCAGCCTCAAAAGTTAACGCTCATCTTAGAACAAAAATGCTCATACAGCAGCTTCAAATTACAGTTTTCTTTGCTGTAGCTAGAAGAGCTCCCTGTTCTACCAGTAAGTGAATGAAAATGTTTCAAGTACCTCATTTCTGCTTTATCAAGCAATGCAGCCCATCTGCTGTCCAGGAGACTCAGCTGTTTCAAGATCTTTTCTTTATCTGCCGGCTCTGCTGACTCTGCCATTTTTTCCCCTTCACGCTTGATCAATTCAACAGTAGGCTTGCGGTCATCTAACAATCTCTGGAGAAGCTGGAAACAAAATAATCAAAAATTAAATTGCCAGGAAATGATGGCTTTGTGACAAGATGAAGAGGCTGATTATCCAAGGTCTGGCTTACCAGCAAGTGGGAGAGATTTAAGCAAGCTGTCTTCTGAAATGGCAGGCAACAGACAGACCAGCATTTATGCTTCCCATTGCATAAATAGATTATTCATTCATTTAGCACTGATGGACTAAATAAATCCTGTTGTCAGCTGTAGAGTTATTATTTTCCATTTTTATTTTAAATTCTGTTTCACATTATACTGACAGCTCAGGTTGGCTACAAATAAGCATGCCTTCCTTGCTTTTATGAAATATAGTGCTTTCAGAGTAGGACATTCCATTAAGTTATACAGCAGCTCTTCGAGATAGACCAGATCAGGAAACCGACTCCGCTGGGAAGGCTAGAATTAGCTTTATTGAGATAGGCAATAATAACTAAGTGTCCCAAGTCTCCTTGTGCTTTCATCCTCACCTTCTTATAACCTAGTGAGTCAGTGAAGAGAGTCAGCCTCAGTCCATTCTTAATACTATTCCCCCTTTCCAAGACTTAAGGAAGGCTTCCATCCTCTTCGTTTACGTAATGATTTCTGAACACTTGCTTCAAAACCATCTCCGTGGCTCTCTGTATGACAGCAGTCCATTGTATTTTCAAAAGATACTGATGAACCCTCTTACTAGGCACACAAGAATATAAAACTTGCTCTTACTTTAAAATTATTCTCTTCTGACAGGGCTTTGCATAATATTATTTGTGCCCGCCATTCTTTGTTCCTGGATATATGAAGTAGTCACTATTCTGAATGCTGCCTACAGATGCGGGTTTTTGCAAAATCTGTCTTTACTTTCTATCAATTCATTTCCTGTTAATTCTGTAGCATTGACTTTATATTTTCGATTAAGTACAATTAGTACTCCCATATGAACAACTTCTAGCAACAAACTTCCCTACATCAACCTTTGGAATAATTATTTATAATTAGCTAAGGACCCATATCCATCCTTTTTAGAAGACAATAGTTGTATTACACACAACAACAAATGTTATGGTATCTTAAAGATGTACTAATTTATTATAAAGTAATCTGTTGTTAAGTGTACTCAAGAAACCAGCAGAATGGTTTTATTGTTTTACATGGTTGAGGAGGAGTGGTTGTGAATTATAAACCATGGTGTTCAAGGGAAGTGCAGAAAGACTTCTTCACAGTACTAAGAGCCTGTACTTTCTACACTATGTGTCTCTTTGACTTCGTTTACCATTTCCATCATACGGTTTTGTAACTCAGTGGAATAATTTTAGACATCTGATAAACTTTTATAGACCACTATCTATTTATGTCATACCAAGTTGTAACTTTTTCAGGGGGCATTAGTAAAATTTTCTTCCTAGTTGTAGACTGGCCTACAAAAATCATATTTGTCAAAAGCCGAGTAAATGAGACACACAAGTTCACCAATTAAATCCATGCTTATTCTGCTCTCCAAGACAACAATATGGGCAGTTCAAGAGCATGTTGTAGCAAGTACCACATAATAGAAAGCATGCTCTGTAATTGTTTTAATTAGAAAACAGAAGTACTTAGTTAAACAATTGAAGGCAACCCTCTAAGGAAAGACACCGCATGGTGTTTAATGAATCATCTTTCCAGGCTGTCTGGAAAAGCCAGCAGCCAAGATGCAGCTGTGCAGAGGAAAACTATATTTGAAATTCTCCTGAGTATATTCCGAAAGTTAGCTTGGGAAACAATCCAGGTAAATTAAACTTCTTAATTGGAAATTAAGTGTATAGCCAAGCCTTGAGCTATATTTATTTTTCTCAGGATTACATAATTACTATCATCATCATAAGATTTTACTCTTGGAATGCCCTTAAAATTATAGCTTTAGGAAAGGATTTTGTGGAAATGCAGTAAAATACTTTAGGGTTTTATACACATTCATTCAGCTTATTAGGTTTTTAAGGTTATATTAGCCTCCATTGAGGCTTTTTGTTATTTATGCCTTGCGTATAAACTTCTTATATGAGAAATCCCCTGATACTGTAAATAAAGTATTAATTGGTAACATGTGATTAAGCTAGTGCTGATTCTTTGCAACCACACAGATTGACTTCTACAGAATTATACGAATTACTTCATCTTTCTGTGTTGACCTTTCCTATGTTCATGTATTTTACATTCCATATTCCCCCTGTAATTCTGTTTTTGCAAGTTCAGATTTTCTTTTTCTGTGTGGCAACATCAGCCACTTGATGTTCCAAAGATTTCAATCTAGACTTAATCCAATATAAACTTTGTAAACACTATTCACAATCTCTTCAAATATTGTTTTTATTAAGAATTTTAATTATAATAGTAAAAATAATGCAAACTAAACTTAGAGAAAGAGAAGCAAATGAAAAGACTTAGAAGTGCAGGTAAAGATAAAAAGAAAAGAGAGTATAAGGAAAAAGAAAAAATATGACATCACTTTCAACCTTCATCACAACTATTATAAACAAATTTAATAACTCTTCACTCTCTATAACAGGAGTCCCCAACCCCCCAGTCTGTGGACCTGCACTGGGCTATAGCATGCCAGGAACTGGACCACACAAACAAGCAAAGCCCCATCTATAAGCCCCATCTAAGTTTAATAAATAAATAAATAAATAAATAAATCTATGGGATGCAGGCAGCACACAAAACCACGCACTCTCAGGTCCGTGGAAAAACCTTTCTCCATGGAACCGGTCCCTGGTGCCCAAAAGGCTGGGGACCTCTGCTCTAGTCCTCCTTAGATGGTCTTTACTATGACACTGAAAAAAATGACTTATGGTGACTGTCTTTCACACTTATGACTGTTGCAACAGACCCATGGTCACGTGATCAAAATTAGATTGTTTGGCAACTGGCATGTATTTATGACGGTTGCAGTGTCCCGGGGTCATGTGATCCCCTTTTGCGACCTTCTGACAAGCAAAGTCAATGGAAAAGCCAGATTCACTTAACAATTGTGTTACTAACTTAACAACTGCAGTGTTTCACTTAATAACTGTGGCAAGAAAAGTTGTAAAATAGGGCAAAATTCACTTAATCTTGCTTAGCAATGGAAATTTTGGGCTCAATTGTGGTCATAAGTCGAGGACCACATCAGGCTTCCTCTCTAGTAACCAATTTCCAAAATCATCACTTATCTTTTGCCAAGACTTACAACTGTCAGAATAGCAGAATAGCCAAAATAATTCTGTTTCCCGTGAAAAGTTATTTTTTTTACATATCATTTCAAAAACTTATAATAAAAGTAAATATTCCAAATTTATCCTGACCCTTAATCCACTTATAGCTTTCTTAGGTCAAAATCTTATTTAGCTTTTTGCTGTTTATTTCCCATTCTTTACATTTTTAAGCCTGTAGTTATTTTTTCTCTTGTTCAGAGTGGGAAGATAAATTAACTGAATGAAGAGTTTTCAACCTTGTTGTTGCAAAGGTCTCTAATAGCTTTAAGATGGTTAATAGGTAATTTTCCAAAAGTGAAAGTTTTGTGAACTCAATGTCCTTTAAAAGGCTCTGCTGTGGTTGCGAACAAGATGACCGATCCCATGACTTCTCAATGCTCAAACCGGTGGACAACCACTGTCTTCTGTCTCCTCACAAGAAGCAACCACACATGTGGTTGCTTTCTGTGAGGAGCACATGTGGGCAATCTTTCATTCCAAGGAAACAGTCAACTCGCTCATTTCTTGGTCTTTGCTGCGGTGGTTGGCTCGGCTTTCACAAAGCTCTCTTCAACTTGCCATACTTCCCCTGGAAGTTCTCATAAATGCCATTAGCATTCTTAAAGATCATGTATTGGAATCACAAGCTAAAGGAGAGGGCGGAGTAAAGAGATGTGGCAACTTGGAGTCGCTACATGGGAGGAAATGTCAGACCAGACTAGTGAAGGGAATGTAGCCAGACTGGCAAGGTTCTTGTAATATATGTGACCAACAATAAAGGAACTGCTTTGGACCATTCACAAAGTTGTTCTGGTTACTTGCACCTGACATTATTCTTGCCAGACTTGCTGCCTTTCCTTGGGACACAGTAGATAAAGTTTCACTAATCTGGTCTATCATGTTTCCTCCCATGAAGTGATACCTCTTTACTCCCTCTTCTCCTTAGCTGGTGACTGTACTATAGATCATCAGCTTTCCCTCAGCAGCATATTAAGTACCATCCAACCCAAGAAGCCAATTACCTGGAACTATATCATCAATCACTTTATCTTGTCTATTCATATGATTTTCTTGGTAAAATACTGGAGCAGTTTACCACTGCATTATCTCGTGCAGTATGAAATGATGCCTCCTTTACTAAAGTGATCTGCCATCCCCATTATTTTTATACATTGCTGTTGCCCAGTGTATGCGCCTGCTTGCTTTAGCTGGGCACCTAGGATGATCTTCATGACTCAGAGGTGACCCTGTTAACAGTATATACGGTTGGCGTATATTCCTGGCATTCTTTGCACATCCCTCTCATGATAATGCCCTGCCATGATAAGGTAGTGTCGTAGGACTTGAGAGGGGGGGGAATAAAGTATCTTTATATTTTGAAGATTATGTTTTGCACTTTGCATACTGCATACTACTTAAATATGGGTAAGCCTGTAGTTCTCTGTGGTAGGCAAATCCAATATAAATACCTTTCTACGCATTTATTTTTTCTGTCAAGTGGATGTTTTACTATTCTATTATTAAACTATAAGAAGATGAAACAAAAAAGTAAAGGTGCTACTCCTATTTTAAAAAAATAAAATTGCAAATTTTGTTGCTATAAAAGCAGGTCATCTTTGTTTTTCATGCAACTGATTCAGGAAGCTGACTTTCATCCAGCACTAACATTTGCTAAAAAATTGCCAGTTGCTAATCCTGACCCCAACATACTCATCATTTTCTCCTTGATGGGCCGATTCTGAAAATAAAGTTGTGGGTTGAACAATGTTTATTTGATTATGTAGACCATTCCCTTTCTATTTATATTCAAGTGCATAAAGGATGCCAAAATCCATCTAGAGCACTCCAGAGTAATGAAGTAACGTTAGTGGAACTAAGATAGCCTGGGTCTTGTCAGTGCCTTGATAGGGACTATTTGGAAATTCCATTTTTATTCTCTCCTATTCCGGGATAGAATGGTGTGTAAACATACAAAAAATAAATTAGCTAGTATGCTCCTTCAATTTTTCATAAAAGTAATTTTAAGAAAATCCTTTATGTGGTATGCCTGGAGCAAGGCTCAAATTACAGAATGAGTGTGAGATTAAAAAAAAAAGAATCTAAATGGGAGTTAATTGAATCAGTTGCTTTTATCTCAAACACTTGTTCTGTTACTCTGAAATAATAATTTGGTATTCACTTCTGAAGATCCTCTGGGGAGACCTTATTCATTTCTGAAGCCTCTGATTGAATAAGCAAGCATGGAACATTCTAAAATGCAGGCGATAATGGATAAATTCCTGTAGACTCTAGATTCTGTCCTCCCTGCCTATGTTTCCTCCCCTTCCAGAGGTGAAGCAAATTTCCCCTTTAAAAAAAAAAGCATAAAGAAAAACTAGGATATGGAACAATGGAATAAAAAAGGCTAATATCCCTTCCCATTCAAATTCTTCTCTGTCTGTCTCCCTGTCCCATCTCAAAGTGGACACAGTGGATCATGAAAGGCTAGTGTTATTTCCACCTCCATCTACAATGAAAGGGGGGGGGAATTAAAAACTAAAGACAAATAAATAACTTTCACTTACTTTTTGTTCCTGTATTTGGGCCTTCACAACTTTAAATTCAGCAGACGGGGGCTTCTGATTAGCCACAAGATCTTCTGTATCAATTAACCAGCTAAGAATCGATTCAACAGCATCTTGAAATCTCCCACAGTGCAACAATGCTTCTTGCAACTGTGCTGCTCTTTGTGCAACCTGGAAAACATAAATCAAGCCCCAACCCTGAAGACATTATCCTCTGCCCACAATGCAGCCTCTGACTTCCCGACCCCATTGAGAAAGTGAAGGAAATTAGGAGAATAAAAATTAAGCATTGCAATGCTTCATGGACGTGATGATATCCGAGTACAGGTTGTCTGCGACTTACAACCATTCGTTTAGTGACCGTTCAAAGTTACAATGGCATTGAAAAAAGGGACTTATGACCATTTTTTTACAATTACGGCTGTGGCACCATCCCTATGGTCACATGATCAAAATTCAGATGCTTGACAATTTGGCATGTATTTATGACAGCGGCAGTGTCCCGGGACGGGGTCATGTGATTCTTTTGCGACCTTATGACAAGCAAAGTCAATGGGAAAGCCCATTAACAACCGTGTCACTAGCACAACAGCTGCAGTGAGTCACTTAACTGTGGCAAGAAAAGTCATAAAATGGGGCAAAGCTCACTTAACAAGTGGTGTGCTTAGCAACGGACATTTTGGGCTCATTGTGTTCGTAAGTCGAGGACTACCTGTACTTAGATAATTATTTAAAATTATTGCCATAATATATGAGCTGCAATATTTAGTCAGCCACCAAGGCGTAAGACCTAATTCTACATCTAGAATGGAAAAGATAATCTTCACAGTTTCTTTTCTTTCTTTCTTCAATTTTGCATCAATGCTTGGATGGCAAACAAAGTGTCTCCTCAGTTCTCTTCAATCAGTATGGAACAGAAAATGGCACTGTACTCACTAGCTGTGATTCACATTAATAAAATAATGGTCTGTTTAGGATAGACTTTCTTATATTTTCCAAGATCACTGAAATGATACTATCTGACTTTATGTGTTATCAGCAGACATGACAGGTCTAACACTATGGAATCCTTCCCATTCAATTCCAAAAAAGATGCTTTCGAGGAATGCGATTAAAAGTTTTAATAAACATTAAAGTTATGACCGTAATAAATGTATAGAGATTTATAATATGTTCTAAATTTATATTATAATATAAAATATTCATCATATAATAATATAAGTAACACGTTAAACTTACATACAGAGAATACCAAAACCAGGCCCCATAAACCATTTATTTGAAGAGTTAATCTATTAAATTGTCGATGGGTCCTGGCTTCTGGTATTCTCTGAATGTACATTTATCATGTTATTATGTTCATTATATGATAAGTATTTTATATTTATTATAATAATAATGAGTAATTATTCCTTTCTCATTTGATGCATGACCATTGAACATTCCTAAGTATAGTAATAATTTCTTTGAAAAAAATATTAATACATAATGTGACTGGCCTAGGNCTGGCCTAGGAGGTTTGACTTTTGATATACTCTGTTAGATGCAGAGCATTAACACAGGAATGATTGTTCTGCAACTCTTCTAAAGGAGAAACATATTTTCCCACAATCACAGTACAGCTATGGGAGCAGCCATTTGACTCCTCAGCTTAAGCAATGTAGACAAGTACTATATTACCACCTATGTTCAATCCAAATATGTTTTCCAAATTATTTCCAAAACTATATGTAACGCTACTGATAGGTATAATTTTAAAAATAATATTTTGTGTTCATGTGAGAAATATTCATCTGCGCGTACAGGAACTCTACACGGGTGCTGAAGCATAGGTGATGCGTCAGACTTGGGAGACTACATGTTATTATGCAGCATGCCTACTATTTAGCAACTTTGTGGTGAGTTATCGGAAACAACAACCCAGTAAGAGCAACAAGTATTTGCAATGAAAATATAGCTTAGTACCTTTTTATTGAGAGTCTTCCACCTTGTATTAACATCTTCAAGATCATGCTCAAGGTTATCAGTACTTGCATTTTTAGCAGCGCTCTGAATAAGGCCTTGACCCAACCAATTTACCTCCTGTTGCTTAAGTTGCAGTGGTTCAATCTCTTCTTTCTCAAATGCCTATCAATTGAAAAAATATATAAAAGGAACAGAAAGTAAAAGACAAAACTATTTGGACAAAAGAGCCTGGAGCCTGTTGAACAAAAGCAGCAACCGGAGCAGATATTGGAAGTCAAAACACACAGCATGCACTGTGTTGAGAATAATCTTTATATGTAAAATGTATATGTAAAATTGCACTTAATAGCCTAAAACAATTCAGGGCAAATTCAGACGATTAGATAGACAGACAGACACTAAGGATTGACAAACAGTTATTACAAAAGTGGCAAGAAACACCATGTTAACAGTGAAAGTATGACCATAATGGTCTGGGTTTAATGGAGCTGTGCAAGCTTCAAAAATGACTTGGAAGAAGGGCTTCAAACCTTCAGTGTGAATGCCATCTCTCTCTCTCTCTCCACTAGCCAAACAGCTTCTGTGCAAGGTTAAAATAATAAGTGCCGGCACTTTAAAAGTCTCATTACCTTTGGATTTCTTAAACTGATGTATCTTTTTTCAGGCTCATAAGGAACCCTGAAAAAAAACCTATGGCTGTTTTAATATCTCGCAATTCCACCTGAGGTCTGAAGTACCTTTTCCCTCTCATTTGTAAAGCATCAACAATCCTGATGTTTAACTCTCCTAACACAGAGACACCCCCCAAAATCTGTACTCTATATGGCAGTGATGGCAAACCTTTTAGAGACCGAGTGCCCAAACTTCAACCCAAAACCCACTTATGTATTGCTGGGTGCCGGGTGGGCGTGGCTGCCGGGTGGGCGTGGCTACAGTGGTCATGGCAGATGGGTGGGTGTGGCCAGCTCGATGTTGCTCCTAGGGAGGGACACCTGTGGGGGCCGGGCAGGGTTGGGAGAGATCCAGGGGTCTCTGGCGGGTGGGGCGGTGGGCAGGAGGCTGGTTATGCGGGGAGAGGTGAGGCAAGGCGGGAGTGCCATGTCGCAGGGCAAGGCGAGGCAGGGGCCGGGGCGGCGGCTGCCTGACACCATCGGCCCCGCACACAAAGGCCAGCAAGCGCATGGGTGCTGGAATGCATCTGGCCACGTGGGACCTCAGCAAGTTAGCGGGCGGCTGGTTGAAGAGGACGGTTGCCATCTTCAGGGCATGGCGTGCGTGCCCACAGAGAAGGCTCTGAATACCGCCTCTGGTACGCGTGCCATAGGTTCGCCACCACTGCTATATGGCAATTCATGCCAGGTTGAAGAGAATTGCTAGGGAAAGTAATTCTGAAGATGTTTTTCCAAAGTCCTATCTAACTGCTTTGTTTACATGAATATAGAAGCTCACACCCATTCTTTTTGGAAACACACACCACTAGACAACACACTTTTCCCTACCTATACCTGACAGTGATAATAGTTTGGAATCCTTTCATTGGAACAGAATCAGCATCAGATGCAGTACTCTTGCACAGCTCTAGTTTAAAAGGAGTCCAGTGTTCTTAGTTTTAATTGAGGGAGCTTGTCATTAGTTCAAGTGGTTAATGGGTGACTGGATTTACAGTTCCAGTGTTATTAGAGTGTTATCTTATGGCAAAAAAAACCCTCAAAGTAACTGCAGCAATGAAACTGGATTTGGTCTTTACGCTGGTGCAAAGCAATGAACAGTAGCATTATCCTCTTAAAAGCAGCAGGAATGGTTACAAAAAGTGACAGTAAAACCAAGAGTAAATAGCACTGCTGCATTTCCATGAGATTCCCCTTTGGTTTAACTATAACATTGCCATAATAAAGGAGGTAAATATAATAAACTCAATCCATTAGACCAGGGGTAGTCAACCTTGGCTCTTTTATGACTCGTGGACTTCAACTCCCAGAATTCTTGAGCCAGCATGGCTGGCTCAGGAATTCTGGGAGTTGAAGTCCACGAGTCATAAAAGAGCCAAGGTTGACTACCCCTGCATTAGACTGAGGGGGCCATCTGAGGATATAAAAAGGCAATCAACAAGCAAGCATTCCCAGTTATTGAGATGGCAAAATTAAATAGGACAAATAATATGCAACCTTTAGCCTTCAGGCACTTTGGGCATTAAGGAAAACTGGTACATTTGATATTGGTACAATTAATATAAAGAATGCTACTGGACACCAAAAGTGTAACTTCCATTACTCAGTATGGTTAATACCTATGTAGGGGATTAGCTTACACACTTACATAGTAGACCCTATTCTCATACTTATGTTTCCAATTACGAAGAATTACCTGAGAAGTTTTATTATCTTAAAAGATGAGAATCTGAAAACCACATATGCTTGAAAGTTGCCATCAAAGACCTGCAGCCCTGGGGAGACTTCCGGTGGCAGGCGATTTCGCTGGTCGCAGCTGTTTGCTGCCTCCCGCCTGTTTTGCGTAAAAGCCGGTTTGACAGCCAGCATCTGCTGTCAAACGGCTTGATACCTTTCCCCTGGGCATAAGGGGATCGGTGAGCTGCCCGGGGTAGGAGTTGAGTTCCCGAGTCGTCCTATATGGACGATGTAGGC